TTCTCACAGCAGGCCATAGCAATCATTGTGACCAATGTGACAGCCCTGTAACATGACATTGAAAAAAGGTAAGAAACCTTTGGAAAGTGGACACTAATTAATTGAAAAGAACACTGAAAAGAGGACATCGTTGTATTTTGAAGATAATGCATGAGTATAAAAAAAAAAACAGGTATATTATATATCTTATTAGACGTTTTGTTGTGTAGTATCACTGAGTATTTTTATGAGTTGTGCTGTATTTTGACGAGCCTGTAAGGTGAGTCAAAATACAAACAACAAGTAAAAATACTCAGTGTTACTACACAACAAAATGTCTACTGAGAGATTTATTATCCAACACGCCAAATTGCTATTTCAGTGTGGGCGAATTTTGCAGATATTTTTGGAGCACAAATATGACATGATATTTGTACTCATCTCATGTGTTATGTATACTCTATGAAGCACAACTGGATAATAAAATTCAATATTTATCCCTATAAGCAAGAGCATAATGGCTCGGGTGATTTATTAAGATGAGGCCTTCCATCTGCGATGATTATAAAGGTGAAGCACTTAAGTTCTATTTTGTAAATGGCTGTCAATTTCAATGATTTTGTTTACCAAAAAAAAACAACTACATGAAATTGCAGTTGCTCTGACTGACAATCACTTTTTGTTTTGTTGTCATATTTCATCAAAGTAACACAGGGCTTGACACTAACTTTTCAACTTACTAGCCAAGTGGCTAGTGACAACATAGATTTTAGGACAATTTCAATTTATTTACTAACCAAACTAGCCAGTGGAAATCGAAAAACCACCTGCCAAAACTGAATTTCTACTAGTCTGTGGCTATTGGGCGACCGTTAGTGTCAAGCCCTGTAACATAATGAAACTCCAAAGGTTCAAGTAATTGTCTCAGGGATTATTTGACAATATCCTTCCCGCCTTATGTATCTGATTGATGTTAAGTTATTGTAGAATTTGTATATTTCAAATAAAATCAAAGTTATCTATGCATGAAAAAAATAAAATAAAATAAAATAAAAAAAAATACATCACACTTACAAAGCTCCATAGAATAATCCTACATGATTTTTTGCATATTCCTGAACAGGTTCACTGATTAAAGGAAAAAAAAAATAATGACATTAAACTTTATATTATTACATGGTGCCCATAGTGCTGTAAGCAACTTAACATCTCCACAAATACATTTTACTTACCAATACAGAAAGAAACTGATGAATGCAATTGTTATTACAAGTTGGCCAAGTAGAATAGCATAGACCTATAAAACAGCAAGAAATTAAAACATTTAACATAGCTATGTCTGGCAGGAGCACATAGCTAGCAACTTCAGATGTCAATTTTAATAATTATCGCTGTGTAAAATATTGTTTTTGAGTTTGCTTATTAAACAAAGTTGTTTTGTATGGATTATTTTGTTGAGACAGATCAATCTCAAAATAAACTCAATCACATGTCTACAATCGTTAAAGAACCACTGGAAAATTTTCCATGTCAAATAGTTTAAGAAAGTTTTTAGGCAGCTTGATTTGAGAACTTATAGAATTGACCAATAGATTCTGTTATCATGCATCTTTTTAGTAAAATAGATCACAGATGGCATCAAAATGTGAAGTGTTACTGATGTTCTCACCCATGGCAATGTGAAGTCTACTTGTTTAACATAATAAAGATGCAAAAAAAAAAAACTGTTAACGGTAATGTCATCTATGCATCTGTCCTTCAGTAAATCATAAGAACGAACCAATCCAATCGAGCATGCAATTCAAATTATTACATAACAGTGTAATCCACAGCACATGCTGTAATATGGACTGATATTGTGTTCATTTTCTTATAATAAAAGTCATCTATATATAACTTGTGCATAAATGTACTCTATGGGTATTTTGTTTCAATTTTTACAGTTTTCATTAATCAGCCACAAGATCATCAGAAAACAGCAACGTCATATAAATCAATTGCCCTTAAAACTGTCTAGTAAATAACAAAACTCCCACCGATTTTGTTAGTCCCTCGTATGATAACAGACCGAAATGGCCTGTATGCGGTCCTTTTACCGTAATACATTAAGAGAACGATTAAACAATGGAGCCAAGTGGAAATTTCCTGTGAGTAAGGGAATGGAACTCAGCTTCCTTTAGACGTTGACATCACGGTTTGTGCGGCTTGTTAAAATTTCTGCTAGACATGTCAAGTTAATCATGACTGCACCTGTATGTATGTACGCATACGTTTACTTAATTGGAGTCACGATGAGATAAGAATGAGAAGGAAAAATTTCGTGAAAATTGAGATGACGCATCGAAGCTCAATTTATATTACATTTTTCAAACAGTCAAAATCAAGAGTGCACTTTATGCAACCTTCGCACCCACCCTAGATAAGGGTAGTGATATAAAGTGATAATGCGGGTGACCCTTATTGTGTGTGAACTACACAAGACAACATGAAACAGCTGAATCAAAATTCAAAGTCTGATATCAACGTACACCGAACGCCCGCCAAATCTTACCTTTCGAATGAAGCCTGTAACAAAACGAAAAAAAAGATATTTAGTAACCTTGACAAAACCAGCCATATTTTGCACCTAATTCAACCGGTAAAAATCGTGTATAACCCGTACCAGCGCGAATGGAAGAGTCGCTGAAGGCCATTGTGTTATCGAACTGGTTATAGTCGGCCGCGCCATATTTGTTTGCCTCTGGATCGTACATGTTGAAGTAATTGTTCCTTTGTCAAAATACCCTTTTCGCTCCGAGAAGAAAGATTTATCGATCTCCTCAGTTATCGTCCAGATTCATGAAGATATGGAGAAAATCAGCGTCCAGATTTGTGTTATGTGTTTCGCTCTGCAAATTGAAACCCTTCCGGGATGAACAAGCACCCATTTGTAGCATGACGTCACCTTCGTGATGATTGGACAGTGCACCAGTTATACGGTGTTGATGAAAGAGGGCTGATGGGAGGGTCACAGCACAGAAGTAATGCTAGTCACATGACTTCCATTTTAACTTTGTAAAATCAAATACTCACGACTTATTCATCAATAAACACGACTGCCTGTGCTGCAATTGGTATTGCTCAACTGAAACTTCAGTGTTTGTCGCCTTTTCATATTCTCAGTGTTTTCATGCTCGAATAGATTAGTAAGTACATTTGAGGTTTCTGGTTGTAAAGATGAAAGAATCTATCGAAAAACTAGCAAGATCAATTGGTGGGAGTTCTTCGTGACCTTTGGTTGGATCTCAATAAAAGAACCAATCACACGATGCGTGTTCTTTTAGTTTAACTTCCGCCCAGTCTATAAGTAGAGACATACTTTGTATGTGTAAATAGTTCTTACTCGATTTTTAAAAAAATTGTTTTATTTCATCATTACACGCTCACTTTGGAGGCTGGTTGGCTGCATGTGATGCTTTAATGAATGTGATGATTTAATGTGACAGCGTGATGCTGTTAGTGAGCTTCTATGCGCTAGCTAATGTTTGGCTGTGTAGCCGCGTGATGCGGTTCCAGTCAATACCCACTAATTGACCCTTGCTTACCATAGAGTTTCCTGTAGCTCAGTGGTTACAGCATCAGGCTAGATCACGGAGGGTCGTGGGTTCAAATCCCATCTAGAAATTCGATTTTTAAAAATTGTTTATTTCATCTTTACATGCTCACTTTGGAGGCTGGTTGGCTGCATGGGATGCTAAATAGTTCTTCACCGTTGTAAATAGGCCCACATAGATTTTTTAGCATAATTTTTGGCATAATTTGGAAAAAAGAACATACTTTTCACTCTATTTATCGAAGTAGCACTGCTAGCATAATCAGCATATTTTAAGTTTTTTAATCGAAGAGAATACTGTAACCAGACTCGTGACTTGTTTGGTCTCTAAGATTTATTATCTTTGGGCTCGTTCCATGGCTTAGTCTCTTTTCAAACTTTGCAATGTTTTGGGGGAAGAAGGTTACCACAATACTCTACTGAGTCATTCGTCGCGCAGAGGACTGGGCACACTAGCCCCACTCCCCATGGCTTTCACTACAGGAATAACAAAATGGCGTCGAAGCCGAAACGTGGTGCTAACATCGCACACCTTAACACATCAAGTAACTGCTTCTCGTGTGGAAGTTAGTGCAGCAGTTAATTGTGTTTGGTTAGAGCAGGGTTGTAACTCAAAAGAAGGAGGATTTAATGTTATATTGGCAATGAATATATTGTTTAGACCTATTTATCTTTCCTTTTTTGTAAAGCATACTTTGGGAAAAAGTAGCGTAATTTTCAAAAGCAAACATAGTTTTGAGCATAATCTGGAAATAATCTGTCGTTCTTTTTTTTTTTCGTATTTCTTTTTTTAAATAAAAGCTAATGGATAGGAGAGGACTCTTGTTGGCTTCTCAAGACTAAACACACCAGTAATCCTGGTAATTCCTATTGACAGGAGAGCCTATTTTTTTCGGTTTGCCGATGATAAGCCTCTTTCGGTTTGCCGACTGTAGCACCCCACTCTGCAATGGGCAAGCCTGGATATTGTGTTGCCTCGTTACGGTGTGGTGCGTTAAAAAATTAAGAGCTATTCAGACCACTAAGAAGTGCCATTCGATGTTTACATGGCGTCTAAAGCAAACACACACTCCGGTCGAAGAAAAGGGCTAATGGGGGAATACTTCACAAAGCAGGTCTGGCAGTACAAAAAAACAAACTTTTCAGAATATAGGGACAAAGCCAATTATATCAGGTTTGACGGCAAGAGTAGGTTTTACTGAAAGATTCTGCTTTGGCCGAGTTTTTCGTTGTTCTCCTCAATTCACGTGCGGAAACTCGACAGCAATTAGCTCGAGGATTTCTACTGGAAGACTTGAACCCCAAAAGAGTTACATTTATCAACAGGATACACCCTATTCAGTGTAATTCCGACATACTGTAGAACAATACAGTAATTCTTCTATGGAACCAAGGCTCATCTTGTTAAACGGAAGGCATAAAACCAGCCTTGTTGTTAGGTGTGTTCGTTCCAGCGAGTCTAGGCTAGAAATACAACAGTCATTGCTATTACTATTGCCAGCGAAGTTGAACAGCGCAGTGAATGAATTCGAATTCGAAGCGCATTTAATCGAGTACATTTAAATGTTTGAACACTTTCTCAGTACCTTTCTGTCAGGAGCTCTACTTCTCAGCGAAGTTCTACCCCTAAAAATAGTCGATGTGGTAACGGTCAGGGTAAAGTTTCAGTAGATTAGCGAGATTCTCCTTGCCGACATCACTGATCTGATTGGAACTCAAATCCACTGCAGTTACCTTACATGTTGCTGTCTGCAAGGCTTGACAAAGACTGACCACACCGGCATCAGTGATCTGATTAAGACTCAGATCCAGTGTCTTCACCTTACAAACAGCTTTTTGTAAAACTTGACATAGACAAACAACTCCGGCATCGGTGATCTGATTGTAACTCAAATTGAGTCTGGTTATGCCACACGTTTCTGTCTGTAACGCTTGACACAGGCTGTCAACACCAGTATCTGTGATCTGATTACCACTCAGAACCAGTTTTGGTAACTTCCTTGTAGCTGTCTGTAATGCTTGACATAGACTGGCAACACCGTCATCAGTGATTTGATTACCACTCAGATCCAGTGCGCTCGCTCTGCATGCTGCGTTCTGCTGCTCACAGATTAAATGATTTCTCCCCGACTCTTCGTCATCATTCAATGCACTCATAACATCTAGCAAAAAAGACACTGAAGTGCAACCCGTATCAGTCACATTCCTGAAAACAATCGTGCCTTTACGATCACAGAATTCATAGTAGCCCTTCTCTACGATACTTTTGGCAAACTGTTTGTCCTCGTACTCCATCAGACAATAAACTGTTAGAAGCTTCCTCCTAAAAAAGTATTCAGTACTGAATCCATCAAGTATTCGTTCCATAAATACGTTGTCTTTCTGCTTTGACAGAATACCGGACATGTATTGCAGTACAACTGATGAAACATCGCCAGGGGGAATTTCTTTCCTCTTCACAAACCAACGAGCAGCTAGATACTCTTGGAGAGTCAAGTGGGTGAAGCAAAAATATTTCGTCGTTTCAAAACAAGATTTTCTGAAAGGAGGACCGCAGTGAAGAAGACCACTTGCGCTCAAACTTTCAACTTCTTGTGGGCTGAACATTTTCACATCCTCTTTCGTAAATAGAAACCTCTTCTCCAAGAGCAACTGAGCAGCTAATTCCGATAATTTATCCAAGGTTTCCTCGTGGGAGAGTCTCTTGTTTTTGTTGTGCTTTCGCACAAACATGTTGACCACTTCAAAGTAAAGGTCACTTGTTTTCACAGGGAGGGCTTTAGTGTTCGTTGATTCCGTTAGAATGTAATCAAAGTAGTAACACATCAGAAAACAAAGCACAGGAATGTGGGCAAAGCTGACGAGATTGGCATTCTTTGTGATGTGGTCGGTCACTGTGCTTTTGAATCTCTCGTTATCTCTGAAATACTTCTCAATGTATTCCTTCACCTGCGGTTCAAAAAATCCTGTAATTTCAACGTATCTATCAAATCTAATTTCGTCTTTTATTTTGTCAGATTCATCGGGCCTTGACGTTACCATGACAACGGAACCTCTCAAGATTTTTCCTTTGATGAGTTTGGCACACACTGCCGCTACTGGCATTTTCTCTCGGGCGTTGTTGGGAAATCCTTCCTCTGAATCACTAGCGATGAAATCTTGCTGTGAATACTCGTCGTACCCGTCGATGACAATCAAAACTTCCTCCGGATGATTAATCATGTATTCAAATAAGGAATTGTCAATATTTGAGTGGTCATCTAGCACTGACGATCGGTTTAGGATTCCTCTCAAGCTGGCTGGACTATCTTTAAGTAAATTCAGCTGACGAAAAGTCAGCAAGTATGCAAACTTGAAGTCGGGGACGTTTGTTCCCGGTAGTAACTGAAATAATTTGCCGTCGGCCCAATCTCTGATCAACTTCTGGCAAAACAGAGTTTTACCGATGCCCGCCTTTCCAGTGAGAAGAACAGATTGTGGATTTTTCTCATTGCCATCGGTTGAAATGAATATTTCTCGGCAATGCTTGACTGGTCTTCCACTCACTTGACCGTACTGGCGAAGGTGTGCCTCCCTTCCCGTATCATGGTCTTCAACGGGTTTTCTTCCATGTTGAATGAGAATATTAGTGAAAATGTCATCCGTGCTCACTTTTGTCTCGGTTTCAGAAGCGTTACGGCAAAATTCAGTTTGGCTTTTTATTGATTCCTTCAAAGCGTCGGTATATGCTGTTACAGCTGAAAGGAGAACCGAGAACCTGTCTTAACTTTGATTAACAAATTAAAAGTGACTGTTGTGTTCCGACCGTTCAGGTGAGAGTAGTCCATCAAGTCACTTGGCTCTCAGTGATGACGATTTCCATGAAAGTGGTGGAAACGTCACTCGCTGCTGTTGAACAACAATCCTTATCAGGACTACTCTCACCCAAACGATCAGATTACATTTTATAATCATTATTGACTGGATTTGTTCTGGACGATTAGATAATGAATCGCTTGCTAATTCGTCGCTTCTGACACAAAGGGTACAAATCTCGCTAAATTTTGTACGGTTTGAATCCGTCCTCTAACTTCTGAAAAAGCAGAGCAAGTCGGAGAATTGAGGCGCTCTCTTTGATTACTGTTGTTAGGCTAGCATTAAATTCGGAATTTTTGAAAGATGAACACACAAATAGTGCCCCCCTCCCCGAAACTTTCAGTTTGCAAAGATATGATTTTAGCAGGACTCTTTTGAGACATGAACACCGTGATCATATAGTCGTCATTTACTCCCAGGAATTTAAACCTGTCGATCCTCCTTTTGCTTAATTTTTAAAGTAGATCGAAATCCTCTCCTCCAAATTTACCCTTGCCCATACCTTCAGCTCCTATTTTCCCTTCGGAATTCGCCCTGGCCGCCTTCAATTCGTCCAACTTCCTTCCAAACTGAGAAACATCTTCCATCAATTTATCCAATTTTTCATTTGTGTTGAGTTCATCGTGAACACATTGTTTAAGAAGCTCTTTGTAGTGCTCCCCAAAATCGCTGTCAATGCATTCCTTTTTCAAGCCATCAATAGCACATTGGTAACCTTCTCCACCTATTCTCACCAGTGCACCCTGGATGTCCTTCCAGTACTGATTGAACGTTGCTTCGTCAATTGCAGCCTGACTAGCATGACTTTGAACGGTGTTCCTGTAGCACTTGATGCGAGCGATGTCTGCCTCAAGGGATGTGTCATCTGCAGGAGGAAGCGTATCCCAGCCAGTAGCTGGAGGATTAAAACCACAAAGATTTCTCAGCAGAACCATTAGGGTACTGATGTCCAAATACTGTAATGAAACTGAAGATTTGACGGTGGGATACAGTTTCTCCCATTGCAAACAACTAAGAACTCTCTTCTTTCGAAGTGTTTGCAGAATGGAATGCACTAAAGGACTTGACAAAACTGTGTCCAAATTTCCTGGTGGACGCTTCTCGTCGAATATCTTTCTCAGGACATGTGATCCAACATCCACCAGAAGCTTGCACAGCCGATAATAGTTAGTTGTCTCTTTCGAAGAATGAAACGAAAGCTCCAATGCAGAGGCCATTAGGGAGGACTAATTTCTAATATGGGCACTGGAAGATGTAAAAATAAACAACCTGTAATTTGGTACAATGTATATATGAAGTTCATATATTTTGAACTGCGGTATTAAATACGTATGATGCACGATCCTCGCAGTAGAGAACGCTATTTATGCAATAGCGAAAATCAGACCTGAAAAAAATCAGGCCTGTACGGGTTTCGAACCACTGACCTCTGCGATACTAGTGCAGCGCTCTACCAATTGAGCTAACAAGCCAACTGGGAACAGGCCGTTAAGTTGATTCGTAATGAACCCGTGATGATATATCAGATACAATGTATGTATGAAGTTCATATATACATTGGTCAGTGGTTTATATATACATTGGTCATATATACATTGGTCAGTGGTTCGAATCCCGTACAGGCCTGATTTTTTTCAGGCCTGTACGGGATTCGAGAGGAACCCCTATTGAAGCTCGAGAGGAACCCATATTGAATCTCGAGAGGAACCCATATTGAATCTTCTAACCCCTGTCAGTTTATATGATAAGCTAAATATCGCGGCGTGCATTTTGTTGGTAACAGTCGGTTTTGCTACATTTGGAGTTCGCTATGTTCCCTTGGAGTTCCCTACATGTTAGCTACATTGAACTTCGAGTTCGCTATATAGCAAATTAAACCCAGTTCACTGCAAACGTTTAACTTCACAACTCGTGTAACAGACGTACCACGATTCGCCCGGGAACAATATTGATAGCGGCCTTTTCTGAATAATAATAGGGACTTTAAGCAAACCACGACGGCGACGGCAACGAGAACGTGGAAAAACAATAGATCTACTTAGCAGAACAATAGCCCAGCACATGCGTTTTAAAAATTTGGTACATTTCTTAGCCGTCCTATGCAAAACGACAACGTGATATCACCAAAATCTTCGTCGTCTGCGAAGCGAAACCGCGGCGGCAAATTTTTTTAATTTACAGTTGGAAGTCAACGCTAGTTTTATGCATTATGTTGAGTTTGAGGTCTGGCGCCCTATGAGACGGTAAACGCATGCAGCCATTTTCGAAATTATAACTAAAAGTAGAAACTCATTTTTTAATCGAGGTCTTCCGTGCCGTTGCCGTCCTGACTACTTAAAGTTCCTAATGTCTCACGATTTTATTTATGAACTAGATTTGTACCTGGAGTAAGAGTAAGTGAAGCGAAAGTGTAGTGGACTTAATGAACGTAGCGAATTCAGCATGTAGCGAAACCGGCGTAAATCAGTTTGATTGGTTCTCCCTTGGGCAGACAGACGCATAGTTGACGTCACCATCGACAAATGTTTACTTTTTTTTATCATATAAAACAAATAGATTATATGTTGCTGTGGCTCTGTACAGAAACAGAATACAGAAGAAGTCAAAATTACGGCGTTGATTCTATCCCTATGAAGAGTCGGTATTCTGGGTCGTACAAATTGAGTAATAGTTAGCAGCAGGAGACTATAAACTGCTTATAATCTCTTGTCAGCAGTTACAACGGTTTGTTTGAAGTCATCCTCCGATGTAAACCGCGCGCGACAACCTGAACCGTGATAAATTTCTGTCATGTATTGTGCAATTTGATTGGTTGATTCCTGACCAATTACGATATTCGTTAAACGGTCTATCAATTTCATTACTCTGTTTAACTTTTTTCGATCGAGAACAGCTTAAGAGCACTACATCCTTTTTTGATATCTCGGAAACAACTAAATTATTGAAAAAAAAGTGAAATAAAGCCACGGTACGTATTTCTCGGGAGATTTGGTGTTCTAACCGGAAGACCGGGATGATTTGATGAAAAACTTTGAGACCCCTGCGAAAACCGGGAGAGTTGGCAGGAATGCGAGTAGGTGTAATTGAATCATGCCAAAATGTTTTAAAATGAGACCCAATTCGACTCAGTGCACATCAGTCATCCAGTAACAGCTGGACGACCTAAAAGAAACTATTTCTTGAATAACGACTTATTCCACCGTGTAAAATCCGTTATAAGAATATTTTCTTTCATCCATTTCATCATATCTTCTAGTGATAATTGAAAACATGGTCTGACAGCACAAACATTTTCGTCGTTGGAAATTTTAAATGATTCCGATCCGATTGTGTTCCACTAAAAACTAAGTTGCGCGATTGTCTTCGAATATTCTAGAAAAAAGAAAGGCATAAATCATTTCAGTCTAGCTTTCACTGTGTCCAAAAAATTAGTCCAAAACAATCGACGACTATACTGTCGCGAAGACTATCCTAAGCCTCAATTATTACTTTCCTCACCGAAAGCAGAAATTTCGAGACGGACTCACAATACTACACAATTACAAGAAGAAAATTAATCAAAGCCTATCTAGGAGGATTTAGGAGAAAAAATAACGCTCTGAAAAAAATTGGACCACAATTCCTACCTCAGATAGCTGCCTTTCGGTCGAGAACTCGAAAGATCGGTGGTCTTGTGCACATGTAAACAGTGACTGATATTCTTCAGTTGTGATCTACTTCAGTGATCTCACCAAACACTTGGACAATCAAACCGTTAGCGGTTGATTGTTAAAATTTGCTGATCGTTCCTTTAAACAAATTAATTGGCCCTGTTATGCTTATGAAAGTAGAGTCAATAACCGAATGAAGCAGACAGTCTGAATTATTTATGCCGCTTTCGAAAGCCCAACCCTCTGCCCTTCGCTTTAAATAGCTTCTGACGTTATCAATATATTGCATCAAACCGGTTTGCGATATTTCGAGTAAAACATTGAATCATTCTAATCTTAAGCCAAAGTGGCGCTTCTTCCTGAGATCATTATAGTTGTGACAAGTAATAAAAGAATGAAAAAAAAAAAAAAAAAGAATACATGTATCTGTTAAACTTAGGAACAGATCATCAGCCATTGATCGACCGTGACCTGCATATTCCATATTTATAAGTGTCAATTCATTTATATGACTTTGCATGGTCCTTTCTTGGATCACGCAATCTAGCTGGATTCACTACTGAAGACGGACCATTTTATCCTAAAGGAGGAGGGTCGCGTTTTGGGGCAAAGTTTCAAAGGGTAGGTGTATAGCTGCCTTGATACAGCTCGCTGTTGTCGAATTTGTCCCTATACTGTTGGCAATTTTTTATTTCGCTTTCGAAAACCCGAATTATAACCCCCCGCAGGCTCTGCAATTGATAATTACGAGTGACTGAATCAAGATAAGAGCATAGCTAGGGACACATTTTGCCAATTTTTTGTCCTCGCTAAGATGTAAACGCTTTATGTTACCCCTCACTTTTTTTTTTATCTCAGCAACAACCTGAACAACAATTTCAGCAAAATCTTGAATTTTAAAACTTTCTCTGTCGCAGCCTGAAACAGAAAAGCATAGACGCGAACATTAAGTCAAATGACACAAACAGAATTTACTAAGGCGTGGCACTTCCCTTTCGAAACCCTTTACTTTCGCCCCTCCCTTAAAAAGTCCCTGTCTCTGAGGCTGAATAATTCGTAAATTAGGTTATTTAAATTAAGATAATAAAAAAAAAACACGCTCACTTCCAATGATACGATTAAATCAAGTCGATGTTCTTTTAATTTCCTTAAATTATTTCAATTCTAGACGAGTCAAGACGTGGAGTGAAATCTTTAATTCGGAATGCATCGGACCTTTAAAGAAGCCGTCGGAGATCAAATAAATATTCTTTCAATATCTTCGTTCACTTTACGGGGTCTGTTCGAATTCTCGGCCGGCCAAAACTGATCCCTTAAATTTCTCCGAACTGCATGTTTCAATTACTATCCCAACACGAAAGATGACAACAAACTTATCAACTGAACGACTTCCACTGTGGTTCAATAAACTAATTTTCAAGGCAACACAAGAGACGAACCGGAGAATTATCAATGAGACCATACGAGAGAAAGGTCAGTAATCAAGCTGAGCCATGTCTCTCAGGTTTAGTTTACCGAATGAACCGTTCTTAATCTTAGCCATGAATAAAGGCTGATAGCTTCGAAAGAAACTGTTTGGGGCTGCGTCGGTGGGGGTAACGAAATAATTTGGAAATATCAACAAAGTTGAAATGGTAAATTGGCCACCGTAACGATTA